AATAATAATAATAATAATAATAACAATAATATAAACACACACACACACACACACACATGATGTACAAGGCAGTGACTTATTTTTGTGTCTAATTCCTTCTGCTAGTGTAGCTGTACATTCTGTGAAAATATAAGTGCTAAAAGTATGTTTGAAAAATTGTCATTTATAAAACTGGAAAAATAATCAATTACAAGAGTGTGTTAATAAATGTATACCCTTCTCAATATTTTGCCCAAATATTTTTGTACTCTGTACATTTTAATCTCTTTGTCAGTAGTAAAAAAGCATTTCCTTACCTTTCCCATCTTCTCATGGAATATGATGTTTTACCAACATTTGGGCTTTTACAGTACCATGCACATTTCTTATTATAATGCCAAATATACGTAGGTCGTACTGAAAGTCATGAGCAACAATTTTTTGTAAAGTAACATGCTTTATTATTGACAAACCAAATACACCACTTCAATCTACATACCTTTCTTTATTTTTCCACGTAATTGCCACTTCTTTGTACACATTTCTCCCAGCGTTCTGGGAGTTTGAAAATTCCCCTTCTGTAAAATTTGTTCCAGCCATCCGAAGACACCGACGCACTGCTTTCTGAATTCAACGTGCTTATGGAAGTGTGTGTATGTGTGCGAGCAATATTTGAAGATGGGTGAAACATTTTAAAGATGGGAACACCAGCATCGAAGATGAGCCTTGGAGTGGTCGTCCTCAAACAGCCTCAACTGAACGCAACAAGGAAAGAGTGGATGAGATCATTCAAGATGTCAGGCGTGTGACTGTGCACACAATAGCCCGAAAACTTGGAATAGGGCACAGTGCAGTACAGGTGATGATCGAAAGCTTGGGCTATAGGAAAGTTCGTGCTCGTTGGGTTCCACGGTTATTGACCGAAGACCACAAAGGTCACATTCGAAGCAATTGCAAAGATGGGGTGGGAAGTTCTTCCACACCCCTTCTATAGCCCTGATCTGGCACCCTCTGACTACCATCTTTTCGGATTTGTGAAGGATCAGCTGCGTGGACAACGTTTTGAGACAAGGGAGACAATTCGGAAAGCAGTGTGTCAGTGTCTTCAGATGACTGGAACAGAATTTTACAGAAGGGGAATTTTCAAACTCCCAGAATGCTGGGAGAAATTTGTACAAAGAAGTGGCGATTATGTGGAAAAATAAAGAAAGGTCTGTAGATTGAGGTGGTGTATTTGGTTTGTCAATAATAAAGCATGTTACTTTACAAGTAATTGTTGCTCATGACTTTCAGTATGACCCTCGTAGATTTGATACTCTCTTTTAACAGTGAACCCCAATAAACACCTGGGTACATTTTCTTATGATTGTAGAATATAGTTTTGTATTTGAAGTCTTGACAACACTGCTTAGAATCACAATAATTACATTGTCATATATTTCATGTATGAAGCTGGTTTGCACATTATTCCACATTTGTTGATGTTGCTAAACTACAGTCAGGGTACCTGAATGTAACGTTATTGTTAAAAATCCTTCATTATTAAACGGACAGTTCAAGGTGGACCTGAGTTTTACAGTATATACATTTACCAAATATGTTCTTTGTCATTTTTCATACCTTTTTGGGCATAATCAGTGTCATTTATTGCAGAAACTGAATTGTGGAAATATTCTGTTTTGTTACTTTGATAACAGTTCTCATTAGACCTAATACTAAATAGGGTGATGGTAAGAGAGTTGTTGCTGGATAGGCAATAAACAGCTTATTGGTAATACTGTGTAAAGACGTAAATCACTTTTCTTTGTTTTATTTTTTGTGATGCCTGAGAAATGTGTGAAATAAAATTTCCTGTATTTTTGTATGATTAAGTGTGTTTGAAAAAAAGATTATAAAAGTTGGATTTTTGTTTCATGTAGCACCTATTAGACTGACCAAATTATATTCACCTGTTTAAATTAGATAAATTGATTTCAAATGGCATGCTGTATCCAGAGATGGTTCTTACCAAATTTTCCTTATCCACGTCATGTTTTGTGAAGAGAATAGAGGATGGAAAGGGCCTGTACATATGTGTATGTCTCCATGTTTCATCTCCAGGCCACTTGACATTCACAGAAATTTCATGTGAGATGTTTTTGAATAAACTACACTTTGTCTGCGACAGTACTCTATAATCCTTTCTTCAGTTGAAGTTGAAATCAGTTTTTCACATTCTAAATGGCTCTTTGTCCAAAATAATTGGAACATGACATTACACATAGAGTTTTGTTTAAAACAATTTTTCAGTGTACTGTCACAGAATACAAGGAAATAAAATTTGTCTCCATGCAGTATCATATTTGAGATCTTCATTGCTTATGCAACAGTAAGTTTGAATTTTAAGTAATCATCAGGACACATATAAAATTACAAGTAGTGTTTCAGGAAGCTGTGAACTCTGAAATGGGGTAGATCATTCCACTCTTTTTGGTTTCACACTTGAAAGAAAGTGGTGGATTTGTAAACACATTACATGATGGGACTTTGAATTCTTTATCTACTTTTTGACAAAAACAAACTTGCTATACTTTTATTGTACAGTTTGCTATTTATCTTTCAGCATATGGGTTGTGATGAATCTCAGAGAGTGGCAAATATCAGAGGTGAAAGCAGTAGCAACGCAACCACTAATGACACTGTACAGAAGGAAACAACTGTAAAGAAAAAGAAGAAGAAATCAAAATTACCACTGGAGAAGAACTATATATGTACTGTATGTAACAAGGCATTTGCTCTACCATACCTGTTGAGGAAGCACAGCACTATACATTCAGGAGTGAAACCTTATGAATGTGCAGTGTGTAAGAAACATTTTCTGCAGAAAGCTCATCTTGACAGACACCAAGTTGTGCACACAGGCGAGCGACATCATTGTAGTGTGTGTAGCAAATCATTCTCACAGTTAAGTACCATGCACCAGCACATGAGGTTACACACTGGTGAACAAGTTCACCAATGTCCTGACTGCCATAAATTTTTCCCTGTGAAAGCAAAACTTGATCAGCATTCTATAGTGCACACTGGTCAGAAAATATATCAGTGCACACTGTGCAAAAAGTTATTTAAGTACAAGGTTGCACTTGACCGACACATAAAAATGCACAACAGAGATGGACATCTGTGCTCCATTTGTAACAAAGTATTTGCTACACAGAGCCACTTGGAACGTCATGTTAGAGTGCATACAGGTGAAAAACCGTTCAATTGTGAAGTTTGTGGCAGAGCCTTCAGTAGCAAGTACAATTACCAGCAACATCTTGTAGTTCATAGTGGTGAGAAACCATTTATTTGTAACATCTGTAACAAAGCTTATACCAAACGTAGCAAATTGAAGAATCACATTCATGTTCATCATACGGAGAAAATATATGCATGCCCATTTTGTCAGTTGAAGTTCCCTTCACAGTTATCACTTGAACGCCATGTACTATATTTACATAATTTAGGAGATCCTGCAAAATTCAGAAATTTACCACCAGATTTTGATGAAGTAGGAAGCAGCAATATGGTAAAATACTCAACAGGAAACGAAGGAAACCCAGTATAATTTAAATATAATTCTTATTAATTTTAGCAGTTTTGTACATCAATATCACATTTGTATAAAATGCCATTCAGGTATTTTAAATTTAAGAACTAAATGTGATTGAAGTACAGTTAAATAATTTTGTTTCATTTTTATAGAGTTCTTGTTAGGTGAAATTGATTTGTGGACCATTCTGGAATTACTTTCACTATACAGAATCTTACATGTTCAAATGTGAATAAGAAAAAACAAACCTCTGCCAATGGAAATTCTCATGGATTCTTGTATCATGTGTTAAGGGAAAAGTCTCACATTTTATAATACATTGCCTTCATTGTCTGGAAACATACTTGTATAACAGTGGCAACTAATCTGAGTGACTGAATTCAGTTTCAGGTCTCTCCTAACGGTAGTGTACCACAACCAACAGTGTCGCCTGTTGCGTAATCATTCACAGACCAGTATTGTAGTAGAAATATCTTTTTTTAATCAGCTGTTAATGGCAAGATAAACTGCTTGTGTAGTACCATGATTAGTGGTGTTGCAGTGAGTCATTCTCAAGTTTCCTGTTCAGTGATTCATTTTTATGGATTGCATACCCTGGTTCCAGTCAGCTCATAAACAAAATAAAACTCTGAAGAGATTCATGCAGTCCCATGCACTGCTTCTGCTCAGCTCATGTCATGAAATGAACTGTTGTGTTATTAGATGAGAGTATTAAATTTCCCATATCTTGCCAAGAGGGATGGCTGGTCATATGAATAAAAGTATATGATTTTATTCTAGAAGTCAGCATGATTATGCCCTGTATGAACTAGCTCCATGGATTTTAATAGAAGGCATTCTGGTCTGTCACACTGTTTGGCCAATCAAGTTAACAACATTGAGTGTGTTCAATTTGGTTAAGTTACATAAATATCTTTATATGTTTTTTTTTTGAGAGACCATCATCAGAATCTGCTCCACACATGAGAAAGTGCTTTACAGTTATAAAGGTCAGCTGTTCACCAATTCTACTCCCATAGAGTCGATTAATTACATTAAAAATGGAAGTTATTCAGTACATCAGTTTTTGATTTTGTAGTGTACATCTACATAATGAAGAGTTCTGTCATTAGCGACGTAACAGCTGTAGCCTGGTGAAAGTAAACTGGCATTTTGGAGTTACTTACCATTTCATCTTCAGGGTTGAAAAGTAAGCCAAGCAAGAAACCAGCATGAAGCAGGTGGATAACAGAGCTCTTGGTTGGCTTACTTTTCAACCCTGAAAATGGAGGCAGTATTCTTCTCTGAAATGTCAGTTGACTTCCACAGGACTATTTAGTGTTATGGTCCAAATGACAAAACTTCATTGCCGCTGCTGTTAAAATCTCAAATCTGACACAGCAGTTCGTATAGATAAGTACCTGCAAAATCAACTAAATTACAATTTTGCTTTCTCATCGAAAGGAACCCACATATATCCTGGTAACGCAGCAAGTAATTAATGGGCTCTCTGTATTGATGAATCAATTTATTGGACAATCACCAAGCGGATCTGCAAGTACTTATAACACTTCAAAAGGTTACTTGAACAATAACACACAAAGTCTTCAACACTTCTACTCTTAGATGCTCCTTGTATGAATTTGGTGAGCAGGTCTGTACCCAGTCTGTTCTCTTCTGTATTGTTCTTTGACTGGGCTCCTACTACTTGGTAGGACTCTTCAGTGTCTGATCTTGTAGTCTGTTTCTCCCTGAGGTAGGTTTTGGTTGAACCGTATAGAGATTACCATCTCCAATGGTTCCTACTTCACATATCTTTTGTTGATGTGCAGACAACTTTTACCTATCCGTTGTAATGGAAACGTTTCTATATATGATGCCTAGGACTCGATGTCTCTGTCATAAGCTCGGAGACATGTTTCAACAAGCCATTAGCTAGCAATGGATATACATGTCACAATATGTTAAGTGGCACCATGAAACCTGAACAGTTGAATTTGTCATTATCCATAATCTTTATTTAAATATTTATTGGACAGATTGATATGCTACAAAATAAAAAACAAAAAACAATGGTTTTCATGCATTCATATGTTAAAGAACAGATGGATGAGTTGAAACAAATGTAGCATTGTCATGCAGACAGAAAATCATGTGATGGGGAGAATCCAGGTTATATTGAAAAATTTAGTTTGTTATTCAACTGGAGGGACACATTATGTAAAAATGAACATAAACTCTGCATTAACAAGAATGGCACATGCTTTTGCTGAGTTCCCTTATATTTAACAATTGAACAAAATGAATTTTATTTAGTTGGCATTTATGAATCTACTTATGTGAAGTGTTCACTTTCTGCACAGTAATGTCACCAGCAGTGTAGTGTATTTAGTTAAGTAAACAGTCTGTGTATGTACGGTAATGCCTAGTTGTTTGGCATTTAACTCATTTTCTATCCATGTTAAGGTTTTTATTGCATCACTGTGTGGAGTATATAATTTACAATCTCAAATCTTCACTAAATATGTTTATTGTGTGAATATAATTTAATTGCAAAAGAAATTATTTCTTTTCTTTCTCATTCTTTTTTATTTATCCAAAAATTTTCCTTCAAGAATGTTAATGTGGCCTTTTTACTCATCTTTAAATATAAAGAAATTGAATAGTTCCCCAAAAAAGTTGTAAATTGTGTATTATATCATATTATATTATACAACTATGGTGTGTATATATTTCTGTTAAATACAATTTTAATTGTTATTATCGCATCATTTCTAAACCCTTATCACCCGTACACTTTACCATGAAGCTGAACTTCCATAATTTATAATGCAAGATCTGTATTGATGCAACTGATGGCTGTGTTGACAGCAAATATATATTTATATAGTGAGCACAGATCTGCAATTTAATATGCTAATAAAATTCATTATTATGGTTATGATTAAAAATACATAAAAATATAGAAATATGAATAATATAATGGTATAAAAGTATTAATTGCACATTGTATTTAAAATTCTGGTTAGATGTTGTTTTTATGCACTGTACGGTGTTACAACCCAAATGATCATTTATTAACATTTCGATTGAAGAAATGTAAAGTTTTTTCTTGAGCGCACACTTGTGATCAGTATAGCCATGCACAGCATTATTAGCAACATGGCACCAGTGTTTTTATTCAGTTTGCTAAAATCATGGACACACATTCTTCATGAAAGAAATCCTGAAATAAAATAAAACATATATATAAAAATTAGATTTCGTAAAATACATACTATGTAGCAAAATCTTAGCACATCATATTAGGTTATTTACTAATGAAATTGCCTTTGCAAACTGGAATATGTTATATTCATTACAGAGAAACAGATTATGTATGCTTGGACATTTCATTGCAGATAAAATAAAAGAGACTGATGTATGATTCTGGGGCAGCCAATCACTGAGAGGTGTGAGGTCAGGTCACACCATTATTTACCACCTTGATATGCAGGTGGTCCCTGCTATGTGAGTCCTCATTAACTGAGTCTCTGTGCTTTCATGGCCAAGAAACTGAAGAAATGTACAAAGTCCCACGCTTAATGTGGTTTCCTTTTTAGAACTGCTGGTTTACTGAAGTGGAAGATGATGTATATTTACTGGATTCTCACTACCAATCAAGTAATGAGGACCTGGCAGAATTAGATCAATTGACAATGGAAAAAATTAGAGCCACTGCTGCTGCTGCTGCTGATGATGATGATGATGAAGTGGAAATTCGCAAAGAGAAGGGGTTAACATCGAATGGCCTACGAGAAGTTTTTGAGAAAGTTGATGAAATTGTTGATTATTTCAAAGATAATGATCCTTTTTATAACAGCAGCAGATTTTGAGCAAGGAATAAAGGTTCTTCTTTCACCTTATCAGACAATATTACATGAAAATTTATATAGAGAGAAGCAGACAACCCTTGATTCCTTCTCCTAAAAAGCGAGTCAATGAAAAATCAGTCATGGGAAAAGACCATAATGACCAATAATAACCCTCTACCAGGACCCTCTGGTTTCCAGGCACTTGTTATTGTGGAAGAGGATGAGATGGCAGGGGATAGTCCACTTAGTCTTTCCGTCTTCTTTGTTTTCCAATTATCCCTAAACCAGCAAGCCACCCACCATTCATTCAAGCAAGCCCATCTGCTTGACATTTCAAGGTAAGAAAAAGGATATGTGTGATTGAACTTAGTTATGATAAAGTCTATAATTGGTCCTTTTACATATGGTTTTCCTTAGGTATGAGTGTCACTTTTAGTGTTATATGTATTTAAATTGTACTCCTTTGTATTTTTTATGTATATAGAGTATTTAACATGTTTTTTTCCCCATTGGTATGGTTGTCATTACCTGCTTTACCATCCAAATTAAACCATAATTACTTTAACTCTTACAAAAATTTGGTCCTTGTTATAAGTCAATTCACTATCAATGGTCAATTTTTGGCCCCCACTATCCACTTTAAATAAGGGCCGCCTGCATAAAAAGTAGTTCATGAATTTCTGATGTGTCTGTATTTTATTGTATGGCATAAAACGATGTTTCTAACTCTGTAGAGATGATGCTTGTTTTGAAAGGTTTGTGGAGGGCCTTGCCTCGTGGGCCCTATCTTTAGCATGTAAATTACTTCCACTTATTTCTGGAACTCAATAGATGTCATGCCTTCCTCTTAAAAGTCAGATCCATTGTCACTTGAGCCAGAAGATCATGGACCTTCATAGAATTCTGAACATTTTTGTGTTTCTCCCACTTGGGTCAACATCTCTCCTGCTATAGGTCTACACATCCACTCCCCCCATACACCTTCATGGTGTAGTGTTTCATTAGTTAAGCTCACAGATAACTTTACCTTTTACAGGTAATTAACGGTTGATATATTGCACACGCACACACACACACACACACATGCAAAAACATGTTTTGTGCTTGCTGGATCATTTTGACCAAAAAGCCTGTAATAAGACTATAGTTGAAAGTTTGTTAGAAACCCTGTTTTCATGTCAAAGAAAAGTTAATGTGTCAGTGAAGTATTATTATATCATTGATGAGCTTAAGATGAACAATATCTCAACATGTAAGGAACCTATTATATCAAGTCAAAAATATTATGTAGACATAGGTCTTTTAATAGAAGAAAAAGGAAAAGTAATACAAAACATATTTCAAAGTACTGAACTTCCCATTAGATTCAATAAACAAAGCAAAATAGTAGATATCAATTCCAGTGACAGCTCTTTTTAAATGAACCAAATGAGCAGGATCTCCCTCCTTGCACCTCATGATGGAATGTACCTAGTTTCTGAAACAGTGTCCCAGACATAGGATAACACAAAGTCGTTATATCAATGCACTTACAAAAATAGATTTACCTGCACAAGTAGAAAACGGAGAATTATTTAAGGCTATTTAAGAATACAAAACTAAGGACAGCTTTTGAAACAAAAAATAACGTTGAAAACAATTTACAATATAAACCACAAAGCATATTCCTTTATAATAAATATGGCATATATCAACATGTCAACAATATGAGAAGGTATATGTTGGAAAAATTGGACATAATTATGAAACCAGGTACAAAAAGCATGTAAATGCACCAAGAAACAAAGTTCAGGTAATGCTTCACATGTATTGAACACAAGTCTGTCTTATAGCATTTTTTAATAATTCAATGGAAATTGCACAAAGTAACAAAAGGGACAGGTCAGACTTACTGGGTTTTTTGGACTTTGTTCATTGTCAGGTATTCTAGAAATTAGATAAGTTTTGGGAACTGGATCTGTTTCCATCCTCAGGTGTGGGGGAGGGGGGGGAAGACACTGACTCAGTTGGGTCCCTTAGAAAGAGCTCAATCCAGTGAAGGCACCTACTCAGTTGGGTCCCTTAGAGAGAGCTAACCTCAATCCAGTGACTTGAGTTAGCTCTTTCTAAATGACCCAACTGAGTTGCTGTCTTCCTCTCTTCCCTCACCTAAGAACAGAAACAAATCCAGTTTCTGAAACGTTGCATTTTCTAGATTCTAGAATACCGGACGATGGACAAGGTTCAGAAACCCAGTAATTGTGAGTGTTACACACCATCATCAGAACCATTTAGAAAAGGGATAATATTTTAAGTGTACTAGGAGGGTTTACCTTTGTAAATTTTGGAAAGAGTACACACTTAACAAATATGATACTGGCATACAGAACACTTCATGCCTTTCCATACCAGTATACCATTAAGACTGCCTCACCCAGTCCATATCTTTGCTCATAGCTGGATCGACAATCCAATATACCAATATTTTATTTATTTGCAGCTTATTTAATGATGCTGCCCATAACTCAGACCATATATGAAGGTAAAGCTGTCCCTGTGCTTAATTAATTAAGCACTACATCATGCATGCACAGATACTACACTGGGGGATTTTGCTGAAATCTATTGACTGGCTGCAGTTTGGGCTAAAATCATACATACATCTGCGTTTCAGGATATTCATAAGTGCAATTTGCACTGAATATGAAACATGTCACAAGCTTTACAAACAACAATACATCTTTACAATTCCAAAATGCCATATCACAATAACAAACAAACATAAATGCAAAAAAGTGCATATAAACAAATACATAAAATACAGATTATATTTACACTTAATGTCTATATTGATGCCTACTGTGGGACATCCATCAGTCAGCATGCACTCCCCTTCTATTCCTTAGCTGTTGATCCCGACAGAAGAGCAAAAATTCATCAACAGTATATGACAGATTATGTATTAGGACATCCCTTATTTCTTTTATAAACTGTTTTTATCATGTACTAAATCAGTTAAATAATCAGACTGTTAAATATTATTATACTCATGCGATGGACCCCTTTCTGCCTCATTGCGAGATGTGATTGTAGGACATGTAAATTTCTTTCGTGTCTTGTCGGTCTCTCATAAATTGAATAATTAAAAGTAAAATACTCCAAGTTATTTATCATAAAAGTCATCGAGGATAAAATATATTGGGAGACCAATGTTAATATATTTAACTTTATAANTGTGTCGTTTCGTAACACGAGAGCATCATAGCTGACGTTCAAGAATCGAAAATCTTGCAGGTAATAGCAGTGCGAGAGGAACAAATTTTTACGCCATACGTGTATTTTCTAAATTCATATATTAATGTTGTATAATTGACTCTTGAAATGTTTTGTATAATTCCATCCTGCCCCCAAATGGTATAACATGGTGAACATGGTCATCACTCCTCTGAAACACAGTCGGCTTAGGTCCTGCCATTGCGGCATGGAGAACGTGGTAAGTGGAATCATTTAAATCTGTAGAAACAAACAGCAACGACTTTTATCTTTCTAGAGGGTAATTATGTTTTTATAATGATTTGTTTAATACGCTACTTAGATTCAAGGCCTGAACGTGTGACGTGATATTTAATGCGCTTGAAAATATTTATATGTGGACGTAGTGTACAAATTTGGTGTGTTGGGAAGGAGTGTGTATGATTTTGTGACACAAACCTGTAAATTATGCCCATTAATATAAATAAAATATGTCGGATGTGTATGTGTTCGGAAAATTTGTTGCTCCTACTCGTTGGAAATTCGGAAAATTTACGTGACAGAATACAAACCATTTCTTTTGTAATAGAGGTTAGTAGTTTAATGTCTGTGGCTCAAATGGGGTTTTGCAGCAAGTGATTCAGGGCTTTTAATCGAGTTTTAACGGTTCTTATGGGTTGTTAATCATTTGTTGTCTATTAGGTCTATTAGCGTGTTCTCGATAAAAACTTGGATGAAACCGAAGATTTGTATAAGAATTATTAATGGTAGAACTACAGGGAAGCAATTTGGTGGCTGTGCCAGGACATGACCTATCTGTTATGTTGCAATATCAGCGTTAATTGCTGCCTTTCCTTCTTTCTCAGTTCTATCATTCACATCATTTGCCACATGATGTGCAAAGGGGCTCTATATATCAGTAGATGATGTAAAAGTTTGTGACGGTGGTATATTGATACAATTACTGACTTTTTGGAAATTCTCCATCATCTTGTTTTTTTTTTTTTTTTTTTTTTTTTTTTTTTTTTTTTTTTTTTTTTTTTTTTTTTTTTTTTTTTTTTTTTTTTTTTTTTTTTTTTTTTTTTTTTTTTTTTTTTTTTTTTTTTTTTTTTTTTTTTTTTTTTTTTTTTTTTTTTTTTTTTTTTTTTTTTTTTTTTTTTTTTTTTTTTTTTTTTTTTTTTTTTTTTTTTTTTTTTTTTTTTTTTTTTTTTTTTTTTTTTTTTTTTTTTTTTTTTTTTTTTTTTTTTTTTTTTTTTTTTTTTTTTTTTTTTTTTTTTTTTTTTTTTTTTTTTTTTTTTTTTTTTTTTTTTTTTTTTTTTTTTTTTTTTTTTTTTTTTTTTTTTTTTTTTTTTTTTTTTTTTTTTTTTTTTTTTTTTTTTTTTTTTTTTTTTTTTTTTTTTTTTTTTTTTTTTTTTTTTTTTTTTTTTTTTTTTTTTTTTTTTTTTTTTTTTTTTTTTTTTTTTTTTTTTTTTTTTTTTTTTTTTTTTTTTTTTTTTTTTTTTTTTTTTTTTTTTTTTTTTTTTTTTTTTTTTTTTTTTTTTTTTTTTTTTTTTTTTTTTTTTTTTTTTTTTTTTTTTTTTTTTTTTTTTTTTTTTTTTTTTTTTTTTTTTTTTTTTTTTTTTTTTTTTTTTTTTTTTTTTTTTTTTTTTTTTTTTTTTTTTTTTTTTTTTTTTTTTTTTTTTTTTTTTTTTTTTTTTTTTTTTTTTTTTTTTTTTTTTTTTTTTTTTTTTTTTTTTTTTTTTTTTTTTTTTTTTTTTTTTTTTTTTTTTTTTTTTTTTTTTTTTTTTTTTTTTTTTTTTTTTTTTTTTTTTTTTTTTTTTTTTTTTTTTTTTTTTTTTTTTTTTTTTTTTTTTTTTTTTTTTTTTTTTTTTTTTTTTACGTTTTGGAGACCGGGCGCTCACCATCCTCCGGTAAAAGCCTATTGAGTAGGGCCCAGTCGATAGAACTAATCCCTGTCTCCAGACACAAGACAGGATATTTAAGCCAAATGCAACATAAATCAGCAACAGGAGTTAAGACAAGCATTACAAAACTTCACGTACATGACACCATGGCTCAAGCTTTTGCCTGAGGATGGAGACATAGTCCAGTCTCCAAAACGTTTTTAAATAAGAAAAGCTGGTCGATGGATAATGTTTAAGAAGTCGGTAATTTTAGTAGAGAAGAGTGCAGTACCCTGGAGCAGACCAGATACTGCTACTTTCTGGTAATGTATGAAATGAATAGTATTATATAGTGTTAGAGTGGCCCATTATTAGAACTGAAACTAGTTAGTGATTATGTGAAGTCTGTAGGATTTGAGGTTTTCACTGGTTACTATGAAGAATGCCATGTTGTGGTATGTGGTGCCACATAGATCTTGTTGAACCGACATTTCAGATGAACAGTGACTATGAAGAATGCTGTCTTCTGGGATGTGGCACTGTGTAGATCTTGTATGAACAGACATTGCAGAGGAATGTGTCACCTCCATCTTCAGGGCAGAAAAATCTGTGAGCCACATCCCAGAAGATGGCATTCTTCATGTGAAGTCTAGTTATTTCTTTGCATTTTCAGAAAGGTCTTTGTTGTTAAAAGTAAATTTTATCGGTTACTATACATATCTAACTGTAACACATGTTTTGCTAACTGTCAATATTCGGATTTATGCCAAGTGCCCAAGTCTCTTATGTGAAGGGGGTGGTAAACTTTACAGTTCTGAAATTTGGTAAACATTTATGAGTTTCCTGAACTTGCTAACTTTTTCTTTCACAGTAATGTACTTGTAAACAGATTCATTATAATTCTTCTAGAAGACTAATATTTTGAATATGTAAAAATAAGTAAAGTTGTCCATGTACTTAACTAATTAAACACTACACCATGGAGGCATATGGGAGAGTGGAAGTATAGAGCCACATTTACTTCACCTCAACACTAGTTGGAGGTGAGTGATCAGCTTCACGCCCTGGCCGCTGTACCTGCCATGGAAAAAGCCCCCTCCCTGGTCCCCACTGGATAGGAGGCTGGGTGGGCTCCAGAGCTGGTCTGGATGACATGGAGAAAAGAAAATTCCTGCCTCTACTGGCACTCGAACTCTGGCCCTTCGGTCACCCAGCCCATAGCCAGTTGCTGTATCCATTGCACTATCCTGGCTCCCTGTTTTGAATGTGATAGTTTCTGTGAAAACAGTGTTTATATCCCCCCCCAACAAAAGTGAGAAGATGAGTGAAAAGATAAAATGCTATGTTCACAAATTAGAACAAATAAGGCCAAATCATACCAGGTAACAGTGCTGCCACTGAAGAAATTTCCCTGTCTGCCAAAGAAATTCCCTCAAGACACAGTTTTCAGTACTGCAAGATGTATAAATGAAAAAGTGGCTGTGCCACCATCTGTCACTTGAAATGTAATTAAATCAGCTTCCAAAACCATTCTATCAAAGTTTTAGTGGAAAAGACCATTCTGTTAGCATAAAACGGACTGTTGACTACCAAAATAAACAAAACACCCAAAATTGGTATTTTTGAACAGAACCTTATCATCTTCCAATAACATTAAGATACATACATAACTGTAACCTCAAGATTGGCAGTATTCAGAAGTATAAAACTGTTGACATTGTTATATCTCAGAACATGAGTCTATTTTCTGTCTTGGGAAATGTTCCATAATGCAATTATGGTGATTTTAATTCAAAGTAGTTCAACAATATTTTGATTATATTTTCTGGAAGATGCTTTAGCAAGAGACTGGAGTTATGATGGCAAAGTTATATGTAGTAACTCCAGAAGGAACAGTGAAAGGTGTTTAATCAATAGAGGAATTGTGAGAAAAGTAGCAAAAAATTGTTATCCCAGAGACATCCTTCTGTCAGCACTTTACCATACTGAAAAAAGCAGTTCGTTCACACTCTGAGCTTACAAAGGGAGATGTAATGAAAATTGCTTTTGGTTTTCAAAAGAAAATGAAATAAACATGCCTGATAGGTGGTGTAAAAATAAAATTACTGGAAGCATGTGGCTGCAGGATTTCAGAAATTGGCGCCAAGAATTAAGACTTCAAAAGTCAATGACTTATGTGTGTGCTAGTAGCCATATTATCAGTATTCAAGTTTCTTGAAAGTAGAACTTCAATGAAACAGAAAATTTCACTGAACACATTTCAGCAAAAATAGTATCTCCTGAAAGTGTCCAGGTGGATATTATGACATCTGGTGAAGGTGCATTAATGCTGCAATAATAGTTACTGGCAGTGCTATAGGAAATCATGCCTCAGAAATGTTTATTTTTCTAGACAGTTCATTTGCGATCTCTCTTTCTGAATGGAGCACCAGCAAATTCAGTTGGTGATGCAAGTCATTCTGGATCATCAAACTAAGGACAATATCTGAATATCTGAAGTACTTCTTTGTTACAAATCTGCTCTCAGCTCTTAGTGGATCACCATGAGAAACCTTTGCACTTGTATGATAGAGTTAGATTCAGTGGGACAGCATTTAAAAAATCTTTCACTAAAGTAAATGTTGAAGAGGACCTCACATTGCAGGGGCACATCTTTTGGTGAGATCGTCTTTGGAGGTAATGGATTTTTATTAGCCTATGTTACTGACAGGCAGAAATGAGTAGCATTAATAAAAAATCAGAAATATTGGCAGCTTTTTGTGAGGAATGCACTGAAAGAAGCAGATTTCCTACATTGTCAGTATCTGTTGGATTTTTTTTTTACAAATGCTAAGTACTTACCATGAAGATGAACCAAGAAAAGAAGAAGAAAGTCAAATTGTGACAAAAACGTTTGAAAAAATTGAAAACTGGTCAAGAGAAATCAAGGCAGACAAAGAGACATTACCACTGTTAGGAAAAGAAATAGGGGATTATACTCGTATATATTTGATCTTACAAATGGATATTTGCATTGATTATTTAGTTTTTGTATATTCTTATCTTGATGCTGTGTGATATAATAGAAGAGAGAAGACATCTTTGTCTTTGTATTTATAGTTCAGATACTGACAATGTTATAAAATAAACCCGAAGTAAAATTATGTGAAAATCAGTTATGAATATCAGGTGAATGCTGCACAGCTGACACATTTGTCATAAGAGTTGCCACCATATGATGGAATATGCAGTTGCCTTCCATGCAGGAAATTTGTGGTTCCAGTCTTGATTTTATACCAGATATCCTGACAGAGGTCTTTTATAATTTTCATCAGGAGGTTCTTACCTTTGTTGTCCAGTTAATGGCCTTACTGCAACCAGTGCACTACCAGCTATGAGGCACATACAAATTTTCCCAATGAACAATATGCCTGATGGCTGATAACGTTTGAAACTGAGGGATGTTATTAACTTTGTGGACCACTTGATGGCACTATGTTTCATGGGAGGCAGTGTGGTTCATGTGTGGGAATTTGTTTATGAATTGTCAGCAGTATTGCAGCAGTTATCAGCTCAAATGGCCATTTGCTCTCAGTTGCAGTTAGTGAGCCATGTGGGACATCATGGTGCGGTATACTTTAGAGCACGTGTATTTCAGTATGATACCTATGTGAAACACTTATCAGCTAGAAAGTGTCAGCGAAAATGTTGACGTAAATTTGTGATGAAAGAGTTCCCAGCAGGCAAACAGTTCACAATTTGGTGAATAAACTTAATCAGCAAGACTCTTAATAGAGAATAAACAAAAACTTTAGCACTGAGAGATTAATGAAGAAAAGTTAGACGATGTAGTAACCAAATTTGAACATACACCTAGAAAATGACTGAAATATCTAGCTCAAGAGACTGGAGTGTCAAAGTATAGTGCAAGAATGGCAACAGAGCTACTGAAGCTTAGACCCTATAAAACAACAGTACTTTACACTGTGCTGGTATGTGATCGAGCTAGCAGGGTTCATTTCTGCAGTTGGTTTCTACGGCCTGCTGTTAAAGGTGAAATCAATCTCCAAGTGACATTCTTTTTTGACAAAGTGTGGTTTCACTTGCAGGGATATATAAATATGCAAAATAATGCTATTGGAGTTCACAGAGTCCACATCTAACCCACAAAGTCTTGCTTCATCCAGTGAAAGTTGGTGTCTGGTGTGCTGTAAGTGCAAGAAGGATTGTTGAACTTGCATTTTTTAATGAAACAATTAATTGCAAAACATTTTTACAAGCCATTCTCGGGCAGTTCTTTCCATAGTTAACAGGAGAAGAAAGACTCTCTGGCTGGTGTCAGCAAGACTCCGCTACTGCCCACACTGCACACATGTCTGTGCAGGCTTTGTCCAATGTCTTTGGGGAAAAGAATTATCAGCAGTGGTATTTGGCCAGCACATTCTCCTGATCTTTATTCTTGTAAGCCTGTGTTGTACAGTAGGTTGTATAGACTTGTATCTTGCCCTGAATAATTCATGGTGTGTAATTTCAGATTAATGCCAGAGATGGCCTGCTGTCCCAAGTTTGTCAGCTCTGTGTCCTCCAGGTACATGTTTGCTACAACTTCAAGCTTCAGTATGAGATGTCAGATTTGGCTTTAAAACAGTACTTGTACACTCAACAGTCAAAGGATACAGCAGAGTTCCTGAGATCCAAATGTGTGGTACAGTTGACTCAATACATTTCATTTATCATCTCATAAGTGATCAGTGATATGATAAAATGCTGTTACATAATGTACAATTCCCTTAGATTGTAGTTCATTCCATGACTGTATTGAGACTGGGGGAGGGATGCTTAGAGGTTGAAATTTCCACTGAAATGCCTGTGATGCATGCAAAAGGATTTTCATAAGAAATACAGTTAGGAAAGAATTTCATGATAAATGGATTTGTGTAAGCAGCATAGTTAACTTATGAGGCTGTGTAATTAAATGCAGTTCTCAGTACTGTAGTCTTCTGGGATGTGATGCCATGTAGTTTGGTAGACTATATCAACACTTCAGATAAACCTGGTTCTTCCATCTTCCACCCTAAAGATGGAGGAAGTAGGTTCCTTCCTGCCTCACTACACTGTATCACATCTTCATTCTCACTGCTATGAGGACCTAAAGATTTCATGAAAGTTTTAATTTATCAATTTTCAGAATAAAATTCTAGGTATGATACTCAGCTCACCACACTTAATATAAGGGTTTTATTTCTTGTGTATTTTTGGTTATTTTTATTAAAATATTTCATGCATCATTCAGAAGCCCAAAGAGGAAGGATCTGTAGAAGACACAAGGATGATAGGAAATAAGTTTTGTGATGTGACTGTCATCGCACCTCATTATGTGGGAAATCATGCATCTGAGCAGGCACTGGCAGAGAAAGACCTACTAAGGTAAGATGTTCATTCAACTATCCTCCTCCATTCATGAATATGGAAAATGTCCGTTATGAATATTCTACTTTTGTTTATACCACACTTAAATTATTTATTTATATGTCATATACAGGGTGTCCCAGGAGGAATGGACCAAACTTCGGGAGGGTGTTCCTTAAGTTAAAGTATGCCGATATAACCCAAAACACCTATGTCCAAAGTTGGACGGTTACGGAGATAATGGCCAGAGAAGTGTCAAACTTTGACGGGCGTTGCACACTTGTTGATTACAAAATACATATTAAAACTGGTAGGAATATGTGGATTCTGTAATGTTAATAATGTACGTAACATCAAACTAACTTGTGAATAACATGAAGCCATAAAATTGAAGTACAAAATACTCGCTCGCCATGTCATAATTGTCCTTAGGGTTTCCAAGCACTATACATGACACATGAATGGCAAGCGCTGACGTAACGTGCTGACTGCGCATTCTGATAAAGCCAACTACATACGTACGGCTAGGGTGAATCACGGCACTCAAGGACAAACATAGATAAGGCCTCTCAGCTGAGAGGTACAGTGCGTGGACCTGCCAGAAGACCACACTTTTCTTGGGCCATTATCTCCGTAACCGTTCAACTTTGGCCATAGGTGTTTTGGGTTATATCGGCATACTTTAACATAAGGAACACCCTCCAGAAGTTTGGTCCATTCCTCCTGGGACACTCTGTATGTGTGATTACATAAAAAAATAATGTTCTTGATAGAAATATTTTTAAATAGAAAAGAATTATACCATTTAAGAGTTGGAAAAGAAAAAAATAATTATTTGTATGTATGTAGCATAAGTTATATTTCTCTTGTTCATACCTGTAAATCTAGAGTGTACTTCAAGCAACTTTATTCTCTCATTCATGGAGAGCATCATTTAATGTGATGCAAGAAAAGAATGTTTTGTTTGCACAGCCGGCTAACAGAAAGTTATAGTGAAACAGTATGAAATAATACACGCTTTAGATATGTTACAGTGCTATTGCATTCACGGTGTAGTATGTCATTAGCAGGAAAGTCGCTGTTGATGTCGACATGACATTAACAGTGTTGGTTTAATGACAAATCCAGTATGTATTGTATAAGAAGTACACCAATGTTAATTGTCAAAATGATCACCTACCATCTGTGGCACAGATGATGACTTACGAATATTTGAATATTACACAATATTTAGGATGATAGAAGTCCTGTGTTATAATTTTAATATATATACAGGCAGATTATATGAGAGCCTGGTGCAGATCGTTTTGTTGTTCAGGCAAAAGAACCATGCACAAGTCACATTAGCTCAGCCAACACACACTTGGACATGTGATGTGGTCAGTGAACTAGTAGGCTATGTACATTACTGTTTCTCTTCCTTATTCCCCAGAAAATCATTGAACAGCCATCATGAAGTTAGCATATGTATTGTATACCTTTGCTTCTGCATCAGATATGCTGGTGTTTTATGTTATTTCATGTGTTGAAATGCTGTAAGTGAGTTTGACATTGAAACAATGACTTTCTGTAGAGTCACAGCTATCATAATAAGAAGGAAAGTAAGGAAATCAGCCAGTAAAAGTTTATATTTAGGTACTCTGAAAGTTTTTAACGTTGTGAATAATATTAGACCGACACTGATATTGAAATGTAAGTACTAATTACAGTTCTAAAGTTGCTGCAAATAATTGTCTTCTGTATTTCTCCTTCTTAATTGAGCTTTTAGTCCAGACTTCTTAACTTCATGTGTGCTGTTATTCGTATACCTTCATTTAGAAACTGAACTGAGCTAGGATAGCTGTCATTAGACTGGTTATTGTATAGACTACCAAGATTTGATTCCTAGCACAGACAAGGTTATGTCTCTTCCCTGTCACATCCAAACCACCTGTAATAATTGAATGCCTCGCATACAGTGGTTGCCATATGTTCTTTCCCTGCTCACCTCCATCTAATGCTTAGATTAAGAACACATGACATACTCAGGCATGCGAGCAACTTCAAAATTCATATTCAGTTCATAGCCTTGATAACACTAAATCACATAATCAGAAGCTGTCGCATATAAAATGTGCACAAAGAAAGTTGAGTAGCTGATAAAGCATGGTAATTCTATCTCTTCTTTTATTTTTTTGGTGTATGTTTCAATGAAAGTCAGCGGCATAACTTCAGGTGCATTTCATCATATCTGGCCACTTCATTTTATTGAAAATAATGAACTTGTTCACTTTAGCTTATTGTACTTAAAAATCATTTATTCGTTTGTTGTTTGGGTGTTCATATTTTACATGTCCTCTGTAAACAGTACATAAGTATATATAGCATATATCTATGGATGTAATATACTTTTCATTGTATTATTCATGAACAGCATGCACCAGGATTGGTTCACAATGACAGAAAACCGATGTACAAAGAGAAGTATAATGCAGCTGATATGAGACCTGATGTACAAGTTCCATTGACTTCTGCTACCCAGAACTTTCCTGTGGAGGAAACACCTGTAATTTCAATAGGTGATACGGGTATGTGCCAACATATATACCAGTGGGGACAGATCAGTACAGGATCGCAGTCCAGTGACAGTTCTCAGTACAATTATGGAGAGACACATACTGCATTAAGCTACTGGGACAAACAGTTTGGACAGTCAGGTAATCACACACTTGCAGCTGCTGCCTTGCAGCAGTGGATCATGTCCACTTCAGACAACAGTAATGGCAATACCCCTGAATCTCCAGCTCTGAAGAAACCTGTAGACAGGTTAAAACAAAGTGTGGAGAATGTCAAGTATCATCAGTGTCCTTTATGTGGAAAATCTGTTCAGAGACTTAGTCTTCATATGCGTATGCACACTGGAGATCGGCCGTATCAATGTTCCCAATGTGGACAGCGGTTCACACAATTAGGAAGTCTCAAGAAACACCAGACCCTTCATTCTGAAGAAAAGCCATATCATTGTAATGCTTGTGGTAAATGTTTTAGGTGCAAATCAGATCTGTCATTACATTCTAAACTTCACACTGGTAGGTGTTTTGATTGTTCTTATTGCAGTAAATCGTTCTTAACACAAAAGGCTATCGATAATCACGTGAGAATACATACAGGTGAGAAACCTTACTTGTGCCATGTGTGTGGCATGAATTTTAGCCAGGAAGGGAATCTTTCAATGCATGTAAAAGTTCATACTGGAGAGAAGCCATTTCAGTGTTTGGTATGTAGCAAATTCTTTGCTACAAGAACTCATTTGGAGAAGCATACAAGGACTCATACAGGGGAGAAACCATACACATGTGCAACATGTCACAAGTCATTCAGTGATCGTGGTTATTTCATGAGGCATCTTGCAGTCCACACAGGAGAAAAATCGCATATCTGTAATGTATGTAGTAAAGCATTCACACAAAGAATAAGCCTCAAAAGGCATTCTAGAATACATACTGGTGAAAAGCCATTTGAGTGTGTTATTTGCAGGGAAGCATTTTCCCTGAAACGTGATCTCAAGAGGCATGGTGAAAAAATGCACAATATAGATAAAGCCATAATTCAAATAAAACATCAATTTGCACACATTCAGCATTTTACAAATGATCTAAATGAGCGTTCCATTGACCACAGTCAGTATTAATTGCTTTAGTTCCATAGTCTGTTTTACAACTTGTGGATTGTCATTATCATCTTCACTTCAGGCACAGAATTTTTTCCTAGACATTTAATTTACTGTATCAATTCATTGCATGTCAGCTAAACTGAGTACAGATTACATATCCCATAAACTAGCCTCTTGTGATATTCCAAATGTAAATGTTTTATGACATTACTAGTTGAGTGTAACCACGTGTAGAGTACTTAGAGGTATTAAACCTTTAAGATATGTGTGGTTTATTATAGGAACCTGAGCTGTACAGGTCCAAATACAGATATCCAATATTCCCAGGTTCGGACACTAGACTGTCACAAGCAGATCTGCATGGCTAGCAAGCTGATGGTCAAACACAATGAACATTAATATAAACATGTGAACAGGGAACTGGATGCTGTTTTATGAGTCAACATGACATATTGAACTCACGTGCATAGGAGGTTCTCTCTTCACACTTGGTTTGCAGCAATAAAGTACTATTTCTGTATAGAGAACCATTTGTTCAGTATTCAAATGATGGTGGGTTCAGTCCTGAGTATCTATACCATTAACTTCACAGATTAGGCCTTTTGTCCTGTTCCAACTCCAGGATTAAAATTGGTCATTATGATATTTTTTTAGACCTTCCTGTATTTCAACTTCTTGTCAGTTTGTAGTCTAGAAGTTTTTGCAGTATTTGCTATAGGCCCATTCTTGGAACATACTCATATCACTTGAGTCCTCTGATCTCCATTACTCTCAGTATTTTTTATATTCAGCTTCTGTCTTTTTCTTTGTTGTATTCATCTCAGCAGTTTCATTTCTGAGGCCTTAATCCTCCTCCTGTTGTGCTGTAATGTCCATATTTCACATCCATGTAATGAATTGGAAGAGCTATTGTTTTATAAAAATGTAGAACCATCCATTCTTAAAAAAGGTAAAGGTATCCCTGTGTCAGGCTGTCAAGGCCCATAGGGTTGTGAAATGTTGAGGTTCCCACGTTTTCTAGACAGTCGGCTCATAGATGGCGGTAAGGCTCAAAGCCTTGCGTGCCAGCTGCCCTTTACCCCAAAGAATATTCGTGGTACTCATTTCTGTTAGAGGCTGAGTCGACCCTAGGGCCATAGTACAGCTGGAAAGATTAGGTCAATTGAAAAATCCACCTCATCGAGATTCGATCCTGTGACCTTCCGGCTTGTAGCATACTGTATCCATTCTTACTTTCCTGAATCTAGTTTGTTTTGTTGTTCCTAATGGTTGCTGGAATTTATGTGACTTAATTTCCACATCTTTTGTTTGAAGACAAATTGGGTGTCATAAGTAATTAAAGTAGATGACTTTTTCAGTTATTTGGTTATTTATTGTAGTTTCAATTCTTAGTTGTTCTGTTCATGTGAAACAATATACTGTAGTTTTTACTTCAGAGATTTGGAAATTGTGTTTTTTCTCACAATAATGTGTGGTATATGAAGTGCTCTTTATAAATTGTCTTCTGAGTTTGCAAACACAGTTTGACTGTTAGGAAACAAGATCATGTTCCGAACTATCTCGCCAGTAAAATAATTTATTTTTAAATTTCTGTGCCATTTTCTTACAATTTTATCAGTGTACAAATAAAGTATAATAAGTGGCAATGGACAGCCTTCTTTGGCCTGGTGTAGTCTCTTGAAAATATTCACTTGTTTTTGTTCTTGTGTTGGCTTGGAACCCTTGTGTGTGTGTGTGTGTATATTATAGAGGCTTTGTATATTTCTTATCAAATGTTGCAGTAAACGTTTGAACTTTGGTTGAGTGTGTCAGAAGCCTTTTCAAAATCAATAAAAGCCATATAAATCGATATATCATATTCTCTGTGCTTGTCAGTGAGTTGGGATATCAAAAATGCACAATCTTTCTCTCTAAAGTCATCTTGTTCTTTACAGAGAATTATGTCTGTGATAATATAATTTTTAGTAATTATATATGTTTTATACCATATATTGTATGTTGGACATGGCATTTGTGACAGTGAATGGAAGATGCCTTTCAGAGGCCAAGTGCCTCATTGCACATAAATTTTAGGTGCAATATTGTTGTTTCCTGGGGCTTGTTTATTGGTTGTAGTGTTCGTGGTTGGTAAGTGAAGACTGTCACTGGCATTCTTCACTCACCAATGATGAACACAATCACTTAACCTCCAAAAGATATCTTTCATCCACCAGTCATGAACACCACACCCAACACCTTAATATTTGAGTTTCAATTTTAATTTTTACTGGTGATTCACTCCACAAGAGGACAATATAACAAAACAATTTGCAGCATATGTAATTCACAAAGATGGCCATGTGTGGCAATAAGCTTACAACTATTGGACATTTACAAAAGAAGCATTAATAAGAATGAAATAAATAACTAATAAAAGAATCTAAAATTGAAGCAGGATGAGATTTGAACAAGGAACTGTGGTTTGTTCATTTATGTTTTTATTGGCAATGTCAGTACTGAGACTATATGGTATAGAAGAGGTGGTCAGTGAATAATGATTTGGAAATGGTGCAAAGGAAGTGGTTGTGGCCTAATTTAACTGCTGTCAGGGTCTGGAGTGATTGTGAAAAATCAGGATAGTCAGTCTCTGGGCAAAGATTTGAACCTGGGATCTTCAGAACGCAAAGGAGGATTGCTACTCACTCAATGTGATGTTTGTTCAGACACAGTGGAATGATGCTTGTAACACAATCATCCACCATATGTGAAACTGGCTGATGAAACTCTTCTTCCACATATTGGATCTGATAATTTTAAACACTTATATTTGTCTTTCTTCCTGTTATGGCCCAGAAAGTTCTCATAGAGAAAGTGATTTGTATCTAACAAGGAACACGCTGGCACATGTTGTAAAACAAGCCTTGTCGACACAGGATGTTAGGTAGGCCCGTGAATGACATCATCAGAACTGGTAGACTGGGCACAAGTAAAGTATGTTTGAAGTGCCTGAAGTATGAGGTTGGCTTATGTGTGGACAAAAATTGCTTCTTGAAGAGTCACATGAAGATGCATTTGAAAAAAGTACAACAAACACATAACTGATATTTCATTTACATTATTAGATATGATGTTTATATGAGTGTTGTGTGTATTTCTGACCTTAATTTCAGGGTATTAAATCCTTTTTCAGTATTAGTGAATCTCAGCAAGCAGGGTAGTAGAAGATGGGAGACTTTGATTCGATTTTTTTCTGATTCTGATCAGAAGTGGGGGACTTTTGGTCTAAAATAAACATTACATGATAAGTCTTATTCTTCTACCAAAAAAAATAAGTACATTCACAAACTTTAAACTTGATTTAAATTAAAATTTCATTTTGTGAATTTGTCTTACTTGCTAAATTTAAATGTCTTGGCATATGTGTACAACTTGCTTTCTCTACTGGGCAATTCAAAATCCTATGTTTAAAGGTTAAATGCAGTTTAGAATTTATCTTGTCATTCTGAGACAGAAAATCAAATATAAATGTGTGTCATCAAATTTCCGTCCTCATGATTGTCCATTGAAAGTTGCTGTTTGAATTCCGTCACAAGCATTATTTACTGGAAAGATTGTATAATAAAACATGAAACCGAGATTCAAAGGGCTAGTGAAGTGTACTTGTCTGGGACAGAATACTTTGGTAGAAGACAGTACTGTCCATTGTACTTGGGCCAGTTATTCCTCACATTTCCCTGTATAATATTCTCTCTTCATGAAAGTGGAGCTGTTGAAGTTGTGAAAGCTGATTTCAATTTAATTATGACAGATGGAGCTTTAAATGTAATAACAGAGAACAGTTATTGTAAATACAAATGTTATGTATGTACATTAACAAGTACTTAAGTATAGTTAATATTTCATATGCAGTGTTAGAACTAGTACCTGAAAATAGTAATAATAATTTAAGAACTGTGCTTTAAATATTAAATATATTTTAAAGTCTGGCAAAAGTACTGACTTTGCATAAAAAGTGTTATATAAAATATTGTTTTAACTCACTATGTACACACAATGTATCTCCTGAGGGCAGTAAAAGGCTAAAGTACTACCTCATAAGGTAGTCTTGTTTGCTTGACCATTTAAGTACTGTCTTGTGGGGTCTAATGCTGTGTACTCTGGTAGAAGTTTACTGTTGTTTCAAAGGAACATACTGCCTCCATTTGGTGGGTTGAGTAGTAAGTCAAGCATATAGCCAGGTGGTTTGGCTTAGTATTCTTCAGCCCTTAAGATGAAAGCAGTATGTTCCTCCAGAACATCAGTGAGTGTCTACTAAATGATGCAGGTTTTACATACTAGAAGACTGTTCATAGACACCATGGTTCAAACTTCAAATTCAGTGTTCATTACCAGGTTCACTGAGCGCACCAATTCTCCCATGGTCTCTTCCCTTTAGTGTTGTTACTGATACTGTCACGTGTTGGGTATGTTACGTGACAAGTAACTTCACCCCTTTTTTGATACAGCGAATTTATTGAACATTCGCTCTTACAATTACACAATTTACAATCTTACATTTACTGCCCTTGGCAGTATCACAAATACTTCTCCTGTAGTCACTGCAGTGCACTCGATACAACCCGACTCGGCGACTGCTACAATTCAACTGAGTGGTTAATCGTTACTCACTCACTGCTGAATAGTGTTTGCCAATCCTTATTTAGCCTCAGCACGGACAACACAGAAAAAAAAAGTTACGTGATAGGTACCACTGTTGTGTGACGCCATGTTTACAGGTTGCCTGGCAACACTGTCGAGAGTTGTTTGCTGCTGTGTAGTAACCGCGGTATTACTTCCTGGAGGAGAAACTTGTCCAGTGACGTCTGCAGATGGAGGGTGTGGGTCTCCAATTGGAGGACTTATTCCCCCAGTAGTACCAACAGCAGGAACACAAGAAGTACCACTGATACTACCCACAATGTGTGCTTCAGGCCGTGCAGGCGAAAATGGTCCAACAGTTGAACCAGCAGGTGGACGAGGAGTGCTATAGGTACCACGCATGTGCACATGCCCACTCCCATGCCCACACACGCACACACACACAGATATACAGACCACTTTGATCCTAGATGCTGACATGTCCCATGTAGGCATTTGGAAGTAAGGGATGTTGGATCATAGGGGATAAGGAATTATATCTGCTACTGAATTTCTTCACAATTTTGGAATAAAATGGAACATATGTATTGGAAAGATAGTTGATAGGTGGGTCGATTTTTTTTCTTTTTAATCACATGTGGATTTTAATAAAACCCGCTTAGGCGAGTGTCTACAGACTTCACTTCGTGGCTTTCCAGGAGGGTTTAGTCAACAGATGGCGCTACACTTATTATACATTCTCTTGTTAACTCTTGCTGATGGAACTTTGCCTCAAATGAATAAGTTCAAGTCACCCCCTAAGGGTGGGTGGTTGGTGGGCCGATTTTTTTCTTTTTAATCACATG